AGTCGCTCAATAGTTATTTCCATCAATCAAAGAGTTTCGAAGTTCACCTGGGTCTCTCCTTAAGCTCGTATCAATTTGACATTATTGGCTTCCGGATGGAAGTTGCGTTTGGTTTCAGTATTGCGCCGACGTTTCGCAAACATTGCAGTCAGGGCTATGAGCTCCGATTCTGAGCTCCGATGTCTGGGGGTTGTCCTTATATGTCTTCCCCCCTGATGGTGGGCGATGAGGAAGGGGGGAGTCAGCCAATTGTATGTTTTTAATTGATCAGCTGATCAATTCAAAAAAACCGGGAGGACGGTTTTCCAAATGGGGTTCACGTGATATCCTCTGTCCCTGTTGAGGTTGTTAGGGTTTTTATTGACTTCCAAACCCTCTCGGTATTTCCTTTCGAAATACTCTTCAGATTTGACCAACATTCTGGCTTGGTCGTACTGGATAGTATGTCCAATGTCCATCCAGTATTCATCCAGGGCAGACTGTTCTGAGTGAGCGTATTTGGAACACCGCTGATGTTCCTTGATCCGTGTACTGATCTTCTTCCCGGTTTCTCCAATGTACACTTTCCCGCATGAGCAAGGGATCTCGTACACTCCTGGTGTGCTCAGGGGTGGTTTTGGATCTTCTGCACTCGGCAGCATCTGTCCGATCTTCTTTGGGGGTTGGAAGATCGTTTGGATATTGTTTTCCGAGTACTCTACATAAGCGTTATATTGTGCCTCTCAAATAGGGGAGGAGGGCCACTTTAGGTCTTTCCTGGTTTTCCTCAGGATCAGTCTCCTCTCGGGGAGCAGAGAGCTTGCTTTTTAGGTTATGCTTGACCTTTCGAATTTGGTGGATGTTATATCCATTCTTGGTCAGAGCTGTCTCCAGATGTTCAACTTCACTGTCGACGTTGGAGGGTTGGGAGATAGTGAGTGCTCTATACATTAAGGAGTTAATGACAGAGTTCTTTTGGGAGGGGTGGCGATGGGAAGTGGCATTCAGATACCTATCTGTGAGTTGGTTTACGATATACTTGGTGGCCTAGAGTGCCATCCTCGTTGCGTCGAACTAGCACATCTAGAAATGGAAGACATCTGTCCTGCTCAATTTCCATGGTGAACTTGATGCTTGCGTGCTGAGTATTCAAGAACTCAGTACTCAGTGCTTGCGTGCTGAGTATTCATATTCTTTGGGGATTTTGGGGAGTCCATAGAGTCTGGGAGGAAAGAATTCTTTAGGAGTAAGGAATTTTGTCAGATCGGCTGAGAGATCAGCTTTCTTCAGGAGATCAGTAGCTTTACACTCAATTGTACAAGTAGGATCCTTTTTGAGTTTTATGTCAACTCTGGAATCACTCAACATCGCACTAAGCTTTCCGGAGTAGTCGTCCTTATCCATAACCACCGGGGCATTGCCTTGGAATCTGAGCAAATACGAGCCCAGTGAAGCACAAGTGTCTGTGTTGGCGAAAGGACACAATTTCGCTGTTGCTCCCAAAAAAATCCCTATCGAGGAAATTATCAGTCGGACCGAGACAGCGATCCATCTTCCTTCGGAGACCAGTGATGACATCCGAAGGCAGTTGTCCAACATCCTCCACAAGGCTACTCCACCTAGTGACAATATCACCAGGGAGGAACGTCTTGCACTGCGTAGTCTAAAGGAGAATAATGATTTAATTATTCTTTCAGCCGACAAAGGCAATGCCACGGTGGTTATGGATGGTTATGGACGACTACTCCGGAAAGCTCAGTGCGATGTTGAGTGCTTCCAGAATTTACATAAAACTCAAAAAGGATCCTACTCGCACAATTGAGCATAAAACTACTGATCTCCTGAAGAAAGCTGATCTCTCGGGGGACCTGACAAAGTTCATTACTCCCAAAGAATCCTTTCCTCTCAGACTCTATGGACTCCCCAAAATCCACAGAGTCGGTTCGTCTTCGTCCCATTATTAGCAACATTGGAGCGCCAACTTACCAGCTGGCTAAGTTTCTAACGAAACCATTCCAAAAGTTGACTGGTCTAAGTGATTTATACATTCAGAACTCACTGGATTTCGTCAACAAACTGAGAAATTTCAGGACTTCACCAGATGATATTCTAGTGAGTTTTGATGTATGATCACTATTCACCAACGTCCCAATCCCAGAAACCGTTGAAATCATTAAAAAATCCAAAGACATTTCCCCCCGATTCCTTCCGTTAATTGAGCACTGCTTGATTTCTACATACTTTCAGTTCGAAGGAGTGTACTAGGAGCAAAAATCGGGAGTAGCAATGGTTCTTCCATCTCCAGTTCTTCCATCTCCCCGATTATTGCAAATATATTCATGGAACATTTTAAGAACGAATTATTAAAGTCAGCGTCTCAGAAACCAACTATGTGGTTCAGGTATGTGGATGACACCTTTGTCATCTGGTGACATGGAAAGACTTCTCTAACTCAGTTCCCGGAGTTCTTGAACACTAAGCACGCAAGCATCAAGTTCACCATGGAAATTGAGCAGGACAGATGTCTTCCATTTATAGATATGCTGCTTCGACGCAACGAGGATGGCACTCTAGGCCACCAAGTATATCGCAAACCAACTCACAGATATGTATCTGAATGCCACTTCCGATCGCCACCCCTCCCAAAAGAACTCTGTCATTAGCTCCCTAATGTATAGAGCACTCACAATCTCCCAACCGTCCAATGTCGACAGTGAAGTTGAAGATCTGGAGACAGCTCTGACCAAGAATGAATATAACATCCACCAAATTCGAAAGGTAAAGCATAAGCTACAAAGCAAGCTCTCCGCTCCCCGAGAGGAGACTGATCCTGAGGAAAACCAGGAAAGACCTAAAGTGGCCCTCCTCCCCTATCTGAGAGGCACAGCAAAATGCCTAAGTAGAGTACTCAGAAAACAACATCCAAACGATCTTCCAACCCCCAAAGAAGATCGGACAGATGCTGCCGAGTGCAAAAGATCCAAGACCACCCCTGAGCACACCCGTAGTGTACGAGATCCCTTGCTCATGCGGGAAAGTGTACATTGGAGAAATCGGGAAGATCAGTACACGGATCAAGGAACATCAGCGGTATTCTAAATACGCTCACTCAGAACAGTCTGCCCTGGATGAACACTGAATGGATATTGGGCATACTATCGAGTACGACCAAGCCAGAATGTTGGTCAAATCTGAAGGGTATTCCGAAAGGAAAATCCCGAAAGGGTTTGGAAATCCATAAAAACCCTAACAACCTCAACAGGGACAGAGGATATCATGTGAACACCATTTGGAAAACCGTCCTCCAGGTTTCTTTAATTGATCAGCTGATCAATTAAAAACATACAATTGGCTGATCCCTCCCCCCCCCTCCTCATCCCCCACCATCACAGGGGAAGACATATAAAGACAACCCCCAGACATCGGAGCTCAGAATCGGAGCTCATAGCCCTGAAGATGCAGACTGCAATGTTTGCGAAATGTCGGCGCAATGCTGAAACCAAACGCGGCATCCATCCGGAAGTCAATAATGTCATTAATAATGGCCGCGAAAGCCTCAAAACCTTCGTATCAAATTGATTTTCCTAAGGAATTTTTTACATTCGACAATCGTACTCTCATGTGAGGGAAGGTCGTGCCAGCGTTCATATTCCATGAATAAATAGATAACATGACTTTTTTTACACTTCAATATTTCCAATTGTATCATTTTCTGGCTACCTCGCTTGTACTTCCCATGTACTTCCCATGCCTTCCCACTCTTGCCCTTTCTACTCATTCCAATCTACCAATCATGCATAACTAGCCTCCCCTCCACAGGACTGTTAGCCAAGGAAGAGTAGGGACCGTGATTCTCTCTCTGTGTCTTAAGTCCCCAGATCTGTGTTGCATAGGGGATATGGGGAATGCGCGGTCTAGGTATTATATGTGTATGGAATCTCCAACCAATGAAAACATCTTCAATCGAAGATAACAGCTGTAAAAACCAAACTGTAGTTAAACAGCCATAATATAGTTAAGTTAAGCCCTATGCTCCCCATAGAGGTTAACCTCAATCATTGGAATAAATGTACTCACTGTTACCCGACGGCAGAAGACAGAGAGCAACATAATGTGTTCTCTCTGACCTCCCCACTACACGTGCTTGGCCAATGAAAGCTCGGACGACTATGTTCGACTTCTCGGAATTCGTTCCCCGTCGGGTCAAAATTATAGGAATCCTACTGAAATTGTATCCACACGTCATAGGCATTCTCCATAATTTTTCGGAGCATCGATGCCACAGATCTATCTGAATTAATTTCAGAGAAGTAGGAGTAAAAAATTTCTAATTCTACTTCTCCGAAATTGTATTTAAAAAATTTCTGGGTTTCCAAACCATTTTGTCTAAACTATCGACTACTTTCCTTGTTCCGAAAATAAATTGAGGAGAAATTATATTCCTAATTGGAGATTTATCAATAAAAATGAAAATCAGACTACAAGGAGATCCAATTTTTAGAACTACATCAGCATTTGAACCCTCCCCACATGACTTTCTTTGCATGAGTTCTTTTCTATAAGGAAAATACGTCAAAAACCGCACACCTTTTTGACCGAAATTTGTTTCTCTAACGTCAAAGTGGGTATTGCGACATTGCGATTTTACGAGAACGTGCCAAAATCGATTGCGTGATTGAAGCAGAAACTCTCCCTTGCATAAACCCTCATGCTTTTATATCTTGGGAAATATAAATTAAATGAGTGCTTTTCGGGGGAAATATCAATCAAATTGATGATAGTTTTCAGAAATCATTGAGAATTCTCTCAGGAACTGAGAAGTTGAGGGAAAAATATCGAAAGACGTTTTTTGTAGAAAATCTTTGTCCTCGGCGAGAAAGCTATGTATTATGGTATTGTGGCATCGATCACCCGTTTTTGAGATAATTCAGAAAAAATATAAACTGATCACGTCCAACTCAAAACGTATTATCACAACAATGCAAAATTGAATTTCTGCATTATACAAAATATTTACTTACCTTCAATGGAGCGAGAGCATTCAATAATTGTAGGCCCAAACTCCTCGCAAGTACCACTGGGGCTGCTGTCCCTCTATACAGTCTGTGGAGAGTGTCAATGACCATCATCGTCGGCAAATTGTGTCTCTGCCTCAGAGTTTCGTATTTGGCCAAATACAAGACATCTCCAATGACATTCCCACTCTTCACTGCATCATCTAGTATCTTCACAAGTACAGTGACATCACCAAAACCAAGATTTACACCCTGCCCTGCCAAAGGATGTACTCTGTGTGCGGCATCACTAAAACATTTAATTTTATAAAAGTAACTATTTAGCCCTGAGGAGCTAGCCCACTCACTGATCTCTATACTAAGTATAGAGCGCCACAATACTGAGCATGGACAATAACTGGAGGGGTGCCGACCAGGTAACACTTCGGAAAGAACGATGTTGAAACTCGAAAACAAGTAAAAATAGGAAACGAATGTATCAGTAAAATCCGAAAGATAGTGGGTTGAAAAACAAAGTAAATATTTGAGGGAAGCCATCGCTGAACATTGTACGGTTATTGTAACGAAATGAACCAATCGAACGAGTTTGCTATACAAACTTTCTTGCAAACTTTTTTGTAGGACATTATTAAAAACAAATCAAAAACACAAAATCGACAAAAAAATGATTTTCTCATTACCTATTTGAAATTTTGAAAAACGTTTACTCAATTTCATTGTTTGGACTCTAACGACCATTGAAAAAGACAAATTTGAGTCGAATGAAAATTGTGTTTGTGACAGGAGATATTGTTTTTCCCTTCTCGTCGACACAATTTTCCCCCGTTCTCGGGGATCTCGTAAACTGCTTCAGGGAAAATAGTTATAAGCTAATTGTGGATTATTAATCCATTGATTTATACAAAATATTCCCATCTATTCCATCTATTCACCGAGTGTTGCAAATTCAAATCACCGTCGCCATATTCCAATTCAAACATCATCTGAGGCGAAATCGTCAAATTATTGATTTATATTCGAGTACGTGAGCGACGAGCAACAAGTTTCGTGGCACGACACTCTTCGCCCGGAAGCGAGAATGTATAGTTGTCTCTTATATTTTATATTGTATATTATTAATTTAATTTGATATTATGTGGTAAGAGTCGATACCGTTCTTGCCTATAATTAATATTATTATTATTAATAAAGAGGGAGGAAGGGAGGGAGGGAGGGAGAGAGAGAGGGAGAGGGAGAGGGAGAGAATGAGGGAGAGGGAGAGAGGGAGAGGGAGAGGGAGAGAGGGAGAGGGAGAGAGAGAGAGAGAATTATAGGCAAGAATGGTATCGACTCTTACCACAGAATATCAAATTAAATTAATAATATACAATATAAAATATAAGAGACAACTATACATTCTCGCTTCCGGGCGAAGAGTGTCGTGCCACGAAACTTGTTGCTCGTCGCTCACGTACTCGAATATAAATCAATAATTTGACGATTTCGCCTCAGATGATGTTTGAATTGGAATATGGCGACGGTGATTTGAATTTGCAACACTCGGTGAATAGATGGAATAGATGGGAATATTTTGTATAAATCAATGGATTAATAATCCACAATTAGCTTATAACTATTTTCCCTGAAGCAGTTTACGAGATCCCCGAGAACGGGGGAAAATTGTGTCGACGAGAAGGGAAAAACAATATCTCCTGTCACAAACACAATTTTCATTCGACTCAAATTTGTCTTTTTCAATGGTCGTTAGAGTCCAAACAATGAAATTGAGTAAACGTTTTTCAAAATTTCAAATAGGTAATGAGAAAATCATTTTTTTGTCGATTTTGTGTTTTTGATTTGTTTTTAATAATGTCCTACAAAAAAGTTTGCAAGAAAGTTTGTATAGCAAACTCGTTCGATTGGTTCATTTCGTTACAATAACCGTACAATGTTCAGCGATGGCTTCCCTCAAATATTTACTTTGTTTTTCAACCCACTATCTTTCGGATTTTACTGATACATTCGTTTCCTATTTTTACTTGTTTTCGAGTTTCAACATCGTTCTTTCCGAAGTGTTACCTGGTCGGCACCCCTCCAGTTATTGTCCATGCTCAGTATTGTGGCGCTCTATACTTAGTATAGAGATCAGTGAGTGGGCTAGCTCCTCAGGGCTAAATAGTTACTTTTATAAAATTAAATGTTTTAGTGATGCCGCACACAGAGTACATCCTTTGGCAGGGCAGGGTGTAAATCTTGGTTTTGGTGATGTCACTGTACTTGTGAAGATACTAGATGATGCAGTGAAGAGTGGGAATGTCATTGGAGATGTCTTGTATTTGGCCAAATACGAAACTCTGAGGCAGAGACACAATTTGCCGACGATGATGGTCATTGACACTCTCCACAGACTGTATAGAGGGACAGCAGCCCCAGTGGTACTTGCGAGGAGTTTGGGCCTACAATTATTGAATGCTCTCGCTCCATTGAAGGTAAGTAAATATTTTGTATAATGCAGAAATTCAATTTTGCATTGTTGTGATAATACGTTTTGAGTTGGACGTGATCAGTTTATATTTTTTCTGAATTATCTCAAAAACGGGTGATCGATGCCACAATACCATAATACATAGCTTTCTCGCCGAGGACAAAGATTTTCTACAAAAAACGTCTTTCGATATTTTTCCCTCAACTTCTCAGTTCCTGAGAGAATTCTCAATGATTTCTGAAAACTATCATCAATTTGATTGATATTTCCCCCGAAAAGCACTCATTTAATTTATATTTCCCAAGATATAAAAGCATGAGGGTTTATGCAAGGGAGAGTTTCTGCTTCAATCACGCAATCGATTTTGGCACGTTCTCGTAAAATCGCAATGTCGCAATACCCACTTTGACGTTAGAGAAACAAATTTCGGTCAAAAAGGTGTGCGGTTTTTGACGTATTTTCCTTATAGAAAAGAACTCATGCAAAGAAAGTCATGTGGGGAGGGTTCAAATGCTGATGTAGTTCTAAAAATTGGATCTCCTTGTAGTCTGATTTTCATTTTTATTGATAAATCTCCAATTAGGAATATAATTTCTCCTCAATTTATTTTCGGAACAAGGAAAGTAGTCGATAGTTTAGACAAAATGGTTTGGAAACCCAGAAATTTTTTAAATACAATTTCGGAGAAGTAGAATTAGAAATTTTTTACTCCTACTTCTCTGAAATTAATTCAGATAGATCTGTGGCATCGATGCTCCGAAAAATTATGGAGAATGCCTATGACGTGTGGATACAATTTCAGTAGGATTCCTATAATTTTGACCCGACGGGGAACGAATTCCGAGAAGTCGAACATAGTCGTCCGAGCTTTCATTGGCCAAGCACGTGTAGTGGGGAGGTCAGAGAGAACACATTATGTTGCTCTCTGTCTTCTGCCGTCGGGTAACAGTGAGTACATTTATTCCAATGATTGAGGTTAACCTCTATGGGGAGCATAGGGCTTAACTTAACTATATTATGGCTGTTTAACTACAGTTTGGTTTTTACAGCTGTTATCTTCGATTGAAGATGTTTTCATTGGTTGGAGATTCCATACACATATAATACCTAGACCGCGCATTCCCCATATCCCCTATGCAACACAGATCTGGGGACTTAAGACACAGAGAGAGAATCACGGTCCCTACTCTTCCTTGGCTAACAGTCCTGTGGAGGGGAGGCTAGTTATGCATGATTGGTAGATTGGAATGAGTAGAAAGGGCAAGAGTGGGAAGGCATGGGAAGTACATGGGAAGTACAAGCGAGGTAGCCAGAAAATGATACAATTGGAAATATTGAAGTGTAAAAAAAGTCATGTTATCTATTTATTCATGGAATATGAACGCTGGCACGACCTTCCCTCACATGAGAGTACGATTGTCGAATGTAAAAAATTCCTTAGGAAAATCAATTTGATACGAAGGTTTTGAGGCTTTCGCGGCCATTATTAATGACATTATTGACTTCCGGATGGATGCCGCGTTTGGTTTCAGCATTGCGCCGACATTTCGCAAACATTGCAGTCTGCATCTTCAGGGCTATGAGCTCCGATTCTGAGCTCCGATGTCTGGGGGTTGTCTTTATATGTCTTCCCCTGTGATGGTGGGGGATGAGGAGGG